TTTTTATTGTATAATTATAAGTGTATAGGACGAATATATATGTATTTGCATGTGTATATACAATTTTCTCTCGCTTTATACAAACAGAAACACAATTTATACACTTCTGTTGTATAAAGTGAGAGAGGCGAGCACAGAGGGAGTGAGCGAGAGAGGAGAGTGGCAAGCGAGAGTTTGAAGGAGAGTGCAATTGTATATGTGCTTATTACATCAAAATATTACATAATTACGATATTGTATTCAAATGAATGAAGAATGCTTTTTTTGGTAAACAAGCATTTATTTATTTATTTATTCATACTAAGGTAGCATTACATTCTCTTTCTAAATTAGAAGCTGGGAAAGCAAAAACTGGATTATATTAATAGTAGGAGCCATACTATTCTTCATAGTTATGCAGTATTTCATATATTATAGTATATTACTTGACTAGAGACTAGAGTATTTAGCAAAGACACATTTGTTTTGTCATGCTTGCTCTGTATAGGCTTGAGCCCAATGATTTTAGTTTTATGGGCTGATTTTGTTTTGTCATCGTCATGTAATTCTCATCGGGCCCTGGTCCCTTCATCGGGAAAACGGGCTTTTCCCTGCCATAGGCTTATTCATGGCTCTACAGCCCTCTATTTATGGGCTTAGCCCAATAAAAGTTTGTAATTGGGTTCTCAGTTTTCTGGACTTATATTTGGATGTTGGTTTCTTTTTCAAAATCAAACGTGTGAGCTAATATTAAGCTTCAAATAATGCTACTTTAGAACTTCAGACCATTGACCTAATATTTGCAAAAGGGCCAAAAATAAATACAATGTCACAAAAGTAGCCATTTGTGCAGCACCCAAAATTGGCGACCACATAATATAAAAACAAAAAAGCGAAATTATTTGTTAAAGTACGACTAATACTTGGTGAACTATCAAGTTCCATATTCGATACTTACCATATTAGATGGAGATCGTACTAAAATTATTTATTCCATATTTGATACTTTTCATGTTAGATAGATATCGTATTAAAAATATTCATTTCACATTACTTGATCACTTATTAAATCAGGATAAAATTAATAAAAAAATTCCTATTTTACCTCTACATTTAATATGACCTTTGAAAATTTAAACAAACTTTGAAGACTCAAAATTTTCTTTTTTTCAAGAGGTTAATTAATATTACATCTGCCCACTTTTAATTGTCATGCTTTTCTTTCTTTAGATTCAAACGATAAGCATTTTGACTAACATTTTACGATATAATTTTTCGTATAGTTTTTGAATATCGAAGTTTTTTGTTTAAAATATCGAATTAATGTAATCTAATTTCTCTTTGAAAATTAGTCAAATTAACTTTCGAAAAACGCAACATGACAATTAAAAGTGAACAGATGGAGTATAAACAAAGGGCAAAATAGTAAAGTTGATCAATTAATGAGTGATTTCTTAATTACCATATAAAATAGAAACTGCCCATCTATTGGGGAATAGGGAGTATCAAATACCGTCTTCGATTTGATTTATTTGTTAGATTTTAACTTGATATGAAATTTAAGAAAGTAAAGAAGAACTTTTAAATTTTATAGTCTTAAATTAAAGATATATATAATATACCAAATTCTATGTTAATTGTGATCTTATATACAGGTGGAAAATTAGGATTAAAGATTTATATATAAAAAAAAAGACTTGCTATTTCAAGGAAAAATTGTACGAAATAGCAAACTATTAATTCAAATTAAATATTATAGTCATAGTTTCTTTTATTTGTAATTCGCAGCAAACATTCCATGTTTTTTGTCATCCCATTTGTATACCGAAATATACAAATACAGGACCCATTTGTATACCGAAATATACAAATGCAGGACCATTTGTATACCGAAATATACAAATGCAAGACCATTTGTATATCGAAATATACAAATGCATGACCCATTTGTATATCAAAATATACAAACAAACCGAAATAGAGATTTTTATGTATATGTATACCGAAATATACAGATTAATAGCCATAACAAACATAAAGTTTGATATGGAGCACAATTATATAAACTATAGTTATAACATACAAATATGATTTTTATGTTTGCTAGATGTGGAAGTTGCTCTTTTATTAAATGGACTATAAAAGAAAATTAAAACGGCGGGACTAATAGATCTGAATTATGGACTCCAATTTTAAAAATTATAACAAATTCAACACTAAAATTTTCAAGAGTTGAACTCATTAAAACTTCATTGTTAGATCAGTTTCTGGATTTGATTCAACAGCAAAATTAGAAATTTCATTTCAAGTTTTCAAATTTCAAGAACCACCTTTGCTTTGCTCTGCTATATTTGATCGGTCAATTTTAACATTATTATCGTAATTTTGGTATTGTTTGACTTGATGCAAAATTTATAAAATTATTTTTTTAAAATTTGTGTTTTAAAATGTTCTTGATCAATTGTGTGGTTATAAGTTATTTTTTGTGGAAAAATTACTTGGATGGTACTTTTTAATAAATAATTACTAATTTTAGCAATGCTTTTTATTTATTATCATTTATAACAATACTATGTTAAATCCGCAGTATGTATTAAAAATGAATTATGTATGCAAATATATATGTATTATAACTGTTTTTTAAAATATATTATGCTTGTTTGGTAAGAAATTGACACATAAAATTATAATGTATGATAAATGTATTATCCATCAATGAAACTTGTATTATATGTGAATAATAAATTGTTTTTGTAATATGTATTAAAATTGTATAATAAATGTATTAAAAGTGATCAAGTGAAAAATGTTAATTGTTATAAATAGTAAATATTTTCTTAATATAGTATATTTATGTAAGTTTCCCTTTTTATATTAAGGTAATTTAAAATTATTGGAAAGGTAATATTTTTTTGACGGAATACTAAAAAGGACTAGTCAATTTTAAATCTTTTCCTACAAGAAAAAGGCTAGCGAATGCTAAATTAATTTCTAAAAGGAAAACAATTTATGGTAAAAAATTGAGGGCAAATAATCACTAACACACAATTATAAAAGGCCACAACTCTCTCACTTTCCATACAATTTTTCTTTGTAAATCTCTCCTTTTTCCTTTTTGTGCAATGGAAGAAAGCGTTGAGTACCAAAAGAAGAGTTGGATTGCTCTAAAAAAGAGCATCAATGGACTGCTCAATAAAACGAATAAAGCCAACATAAAATACATCATTCCCGAATTATTTGGGGAGAATTTAATCCGTGGTAGGGGCTTGTTTTGCAGATCAATTATGAAATCACAATTGAATTCTCCTATTTTCACCGATGTTTTTGCAGCATTGGTTGCTGTTATTAACACGAAATTCCCACAAATTGGTGAACTTTTGTGTAAGAGGATCATTCTGCAATTGCAAAGAGCTTATTATAGCAACAATAATAATAAACCTCAGATGTTAGCAACTGTAAAGTTTATTGCTCATCTTGTTAATCAGCAAGTTGTTCATGTACTTATAGCTTTGGAATTAGTTACACTTTTACTCGATAAACCTACCGATGATAGTGTTGATGTTGCTGTTGATTTCGTTAAGGAATGTGGTTCGATTCTTCAGGATCTGTGTCCCTTAGGGTTGCACGGTGTTTTTGAGCGATTTCGAGGAATACTTCATGAAGGGGAAGTAGATAAAAGGGTTCAGTTCTTAATTGAAGACCTTTTTGCATTGCGAAAACACAAGTTTCAGCTAGCTGTTCCTCCGGAACTTGACCTTGTTGAGGAGGAAGATCAATTAACACATGAAATCTCTCTTGGAGACGAGGTAGACCCGCAAATTGAATTAGATGTTTTCAAGCCAGATCTTAATTTTGTCCAAAATGAAAATAAGTATGAAGAATTACAAAAGAGGATTCTAGGAGGTGGTGATCAGGATGAAGAATCTGAGGATGATGATGAATCAGATGACGAGGACGAGCAAATTGAAGATGAGACAGAGACAAACTTGATCAATCTTCGAAGGACGATTTACTTAACTATTATGTCAAGTGCTGATTTTGAAGAAGCAGGGCATAAGCTGTTGAAAATCAGACTAGAGCCAGGTCAGGAGACGGAGTTATGCATAATGTTATTAGAATGTTGTAATCAGGAGAAGACTTTTCTCAATTACTATGCACTTTTGGGGCAGCGGTTATGTATGATCAACAAAGTTCACCAGAAGAATTTCGAGAACTCATTCGTGCAACAATACTCAATGATCCATCGACTTGAAACTAATAAACTGCGTAATGTAGCAAAGTTTTTTGCTCATTTACTTGGTACTGATGCATTGCCTTGGCATGTTTTGGCTTATTTAAGATTGACAGAAGAGGACACAACATCTTCTTCACGTATATTCATCAAAATCTTATTCCAGGAGTTGTCAGGGCAACTTGGCATCAATACATTGAATGATCGTCTTAGTGACCCATCTATGCAAGAGTCGTTTGAGTCGATATTTCCAAAGGATAGTCCCAAAAATACGAGGTTTGCTATCAACTTCTTCATATCCATTGGTCTAGGTGGGATAACTGAAAATCTGCGAAACTATCTGAAGAACATGCCAAGGCAGCAAGACAAGCGTGTTTTCAGATCAAGTGAATCAGATGATGTTCATCAAAGTAAGAGGAGGAGGAGAAGTTAGGTAGTAAATTGTAATGCTTCTTCTAATATGAGTATATGACCAAAAAGGTAGTTAGTCAATTGGAAAAATCTTTACTTTTTGGGGTTTGAGTTCTATTTTTCTCTTTGTTTTGGAGGTTAGGCTGCTCTTGGATTCCTATTTGTAGATACATGTATTCGCTGTTAATGAGCATGAGTACAACAAACATGTATTGATCCATAGTTTATAGTAAATAGCTAGCTTTAAACAAATGCCCTTAATTTTTTTTACCAAATTGCTACTCTAATTTGTCTCCCCAAGTTTAATTGATATTGTTGTTTGTTGGTCTTCTTGTTCCTGTTACTTCTACTACTGGTATTATTTTTTCTGAATCAAGAGGTCATAAGTTGAAAGACAGGGTAATCTTAGTAGCTTAGTAGGTTGGTCCCACTTTGTTTATGAGGTTCGATTCCCATGTTATAATCCCCTCCACCATATGTCCATATCCCCTTCCCCCACCCGGCCACTGCTAATTAAAATAAAAAATTACTAGTTGAATGGCTTTTTTTACGTTTGTGTTAAAAGTGTTACTTACACTCTGTGTAGGTATTGCTCTTTTGGGCAGAATATTTATGCGTTGCCCGATATGAGAGCTCTTTGACCGATTCTCCAGTTAAAATCAGGACCTCAAAATCTTTTATAGATAGAAAGTGTTAAATAAAAATATTTTATTATATGTTTAGATATTTTAATAGAATATTATATATTTACCGACAAATCTAAGCATGGCCATATCCTAATAATATTGGAAGGCTTCTCAAATCTCAAAGATAAGTGTGCACAGACGAAAAGCAAATACTGCTATGTACACACGCCCATTGGACTATCAAAAAACTGTTTCGATCATAATTTTTGACACAGTATATTAACGAAAAAAAAAACAAAAAAATCATGTTTATTTTTTTCGAAAAAAATAAATTTCTTGTCCTCTTGCCATTTGAATATACAAATTGCAATTTGAATATACAAAAAAAGTTATTCGAAATCTTGTGTTATGTTTTTTGGTTTATAGGCTATAGCGAACAATTTAAATATTTGCCCTATTGGACCGTAGAAAAGTTCTCCACCGACTGTCTTCTCCACCAGCTAAAGTTTAGTGATTTGTAGAGGTTGCATATATGGGCATTGACTAAAGGGGAAAAATATTACTGTACTAAATTAAATGTAATGGAATTAAAGGAAACTTAGGAAATACTTCTATACTAAAATATAGCCAAGTCCAGTAACTGTTATACTATTATTATGGAATTAGGTTTCATCAGGACCAACATATTACATGTCTAAGCACTAATTCAGAGCTTTATCAGGTATCTATACTCATCTTTCTACTTTTAGCACTCTTTGTGCCTTTTTCCACCCTTTCTTCAACTTTAATTAATCTTAATGACTCAAATATGAAAAAGATTGGATTTTGAATTCTCTAGTCTATTTTTTTTGTTTTCCTTTTCTTTTGCCTTTGTGTCCTTGATGACCCAATTCCCAAATATGAAAAAGATTGGATTTTGAATACTCCAGTCTATTTTTTGTTTTCCTTTTCTTTTTGTCTTTGTGTTCTTGATGACCCAAAACTGAGAAAGATTGGATTTTGGATACTCCAAGTCTATTTTTGTGTTCTTGATGACCCAAATGAGAAAGATTGGATTCTGTTTCTTCAGCTGACATAGTTGTGTTTATATGTGCCTTATTTTTTCTTGGAATTTCAGCTGCTTTTGTTCTATTTTATCTTTGATATTTGCAGGTAAATAGGAGTATTTGTTTCCTCTGCAGTGTAAGAGCAGGGATTTGCAGTAGAAGAATCACACTTCAATAAATTGAATAGCTGAATTGGGGTTGAATTTGCGGTTTTACCAACTTATGCACTACCTTGGAAGTATCTGAAAGTTCTTGAGAAGGGATTATTCTGGTTTTGTGGATAAATTATTCTCCACAATGTGTTCGATTCCTGATAAAAGCATGCTACCTTCAAGATTTCTGTTCTGTCTAATAGCCATTTCTGTTTTCCTTTTGATAGTTTCTTCACTTACCCTTTTTCAATTTGCTGACCATTCTTTTATGCCCAAATCAGTTTTTAGTTTAGTTCTTGTTAATGATACTTCTGTTTACTTGACCTCAAGTAGTGGGGAATCTAAAGATGCTTTCTTGCCTGCTGAAACTTCACATGAACAAATACTGAAAACCCAAGAGTTGGCTTATGAAACTTCCAGTTTCAGCAACGATTCCGGTGGATTAGGAATTGGGAAATCTTGTGGTCCAGAACAAGCTCTTCTTAGAGTGTATATGTATGACTTACCTCCTGTATTTCACTTTGGGCTATTAGGTTGGAAAGGAAGTAAGGATGAAACATGGCCTAGTGTTAGTAACCCGAGCCAAATACCCTCGTACCCTGGGGGCTTAAATTTACAGCACAGCATTGAATATTGGCTTACTCTTGACCTTCTATCCTCAAATACCCCAAATATTAATGGACCTTGCAATGCTGTCAGAGTATCAAATTCAAGTGAAGCAGATGTAATCTTTGTGCCCTTCTTTTCGTCGTTGAGTTACAACAGGCATTCTAAGGTACTAGGGAAGAAGAAAATCAGTCTCAATAGAGTGCTGCAGGATAAACTGGTGGAATTTTTAAAAGGTAGAGACGAGTGGAAGCAAAGGGGCGGAAAGGATCATCTGATCATAGCTCACCACCCTAATAGTATGTTGGATGCAAGAGAGAAGCTTGGTTCCGCCATGTTTGTACTTGCAGATTTTGGAAGGTATGGAGCCGAAATAGCAAACATTGAAAAGGATGTGGTTGCTCCTTACAAACATATGGTCCAGACAATAGGTGCTGACAGCTCGCCCTCATTCAGCCAACGAGATACATTAGTTTACTTCCAAGGGGCAATCTTTAGAAAAGATGTAAGTTTCACAACTGCTTTTACCTGCAATTGATGAGTTAACTAAGTTTTTAATGATATTGCTATTTCCCATGATATTAAAGTTATGCTTTAATCTAACTATAAATTAACCTGCACTAGGTTGTGAGGCCCCAAGTAGTTAGTGGCAGTGAAACTTGAACATGAGAGCTAGATGAAGTTTTCTCATGTCTTTGTAATGAAATGGGTCCAAATGGAAGAAGTGTGAGATTTCTATAACTGAATTCAGCTAACTTGGAATTGAGGTGTAGTTGCTGTTTGTTATCGGAAGTAATTTCAACCAATGTTTGCTCACAAATAATGGTGTGAATGAATGGTACATAGTCGTTACATAGCCACAGCCTTTTCTTTTCAGACCATAAAATGCATATTTTTTGACTGTTTTGTACTTGAAGGGATTACTGTAAACACCAATTTAGAAGACTTATGTACATGTGTTTCTCCTAGCGGGAGCGAATTTCTTTCAACTGATGTGAAGTACCGTTCAGTAAAAATCATCACAAAACGGAAGAGTCCCTTGGTTTCCACAGGTTTATTTACCCTCTTAGAAGAAGTAGAGAATTGACAAAGCCTAGCCATATTTTTCCAATACACGTAATGGTGTAGTTATAGGCAATCGTTTCAGGGTTAAAGTGGAGGATTAACTAATGGGTTGATAACCAATTAGCTCCCCTTATGGGAAGACTAGATCTAATATCATGTTCTTGTTCCCTGTGATAGTTAATCGACTTGGGTTTTCCCTTTGTATGCTGAGCAAGTCTTTTAACCTATAGCATGCACAATTATATTCTCTGACCTGCCACCTCAAAAAATTCATTTTTCTCTGAACTGCAAGATTGGAATATAATACATGCTCATTCTGAAATAGAAGTGGAACTATTTCTTGAAGTCCCTCCATCTTTTTCTTCAATTATGGTATATCTAGTGGAATTCTGAACCTTATCCAGCATTTATAAGTTCTTCATTTAGGTATCAAAAGGACATAATAGATCCCATTTCCTTCTAAGATATCCAAAGAGAAATGTAATAGAGGAATCCCAGGTTGAGTGCGGTTGGTATTGTTACTATGGGCGAAAAAGAAATGGAAAACTGAAGCTGACGAAGTGTACGATGGTTAGGATGATCTAATGGCCTAATGTTGATTGTAAAAATGTTAACTAAAAACTGAAAATTCCCTGTTTATTTCATTTGAAGCTCGAAAAGAGAATATTGATTGGTATGCAGTAAGATTGAAGTGATAGATCTCTTTGTTGCTCATTTAATACCAGGGTGGAGAGATTCGTCTGGAATTATACTACCTTCTCAAAGATGAAAAAGATGTACACTTCACATTTGGAAGTATCCAAGCGCATGGTGTTAGGGATGCTGGAAAAGGAATGTCCTTGTCCAAATTCTGCCTGAATATTGCTGGAGACACTCCATCTTCAAATCGTCTCTTTGATGCCATTGCTAGGCACTGTGTTCCGGTAATAATTAGCGATGATATTGAGCTTCCATTCGAAGATGTTCTTGATTACTCGGAGTTTTGTGTGTTTGTCCATTCATCTGATGCTGTAAAGAAGGGGTACCTTCTGAACTATCTTAGAGGAATGAAGGAAGATCAGTGGACCAAAATGTGGGAAAGGCTAAAGGTGGTCAGCAAACATTTTGAATATCAATATCCATCCCAAACTAATGATGCAGTGGATATGATTTGGCAGGCAGTTTCAAGGAAGGTGTCACATATACAGCTGAAGGATCACCGTAACAACAGATTCCACAGGTCACAGCGTTCGTGATTATTTATGTGAAATTTGAATCAATCATCCTGTACTTCTAGGAGATCAGATGCCAGATTGAGCTGGATTCTCTATCTTACGGTATGAAAATGTTTTTGCTGTAACCAATTTTCAAAACAATTTGTAAATTCTTTTCATTTATGATTGCAAATACCACTCTCCTGCCTTATAACTAGGCTTCTTTTTAACCACCAGGATTTATCACTGACATAAATGGAATTGTATAACACAAATGACAAAGTATGATACTCTGTTCAACTAACATGTACAGTAAAAGAAAACTATTAAGAGGAAGTCTTGAGTCAGAAGATTGCAGTCAACAGCGAGAAAATTTCATTTCATCGTACATGCAACAAGTACTGGTGTTCAAAGATAACATGCTATCTATATGGTCAGAAAATAGTAAAACAAATCTTTTGTGTATGACAACGAGCATTAAAATCCTAGTGTCTTTCTGTGGTTCTAGCTTTACATAACACATGAAGTTACTGCTTTCAGTAAAGACTGCTACTCAAACAAATGATAGTGATCAGTGTCACAAACCTAATAAAAGCGTCTGAGGACGCAGAATTTCCCACCATCCTCAAGTTTCTCTTAGAAAAGTGCAAAAGAAAGCAGCTGTTTTTCCCTGTCTTCATGAATCTTGAAACGGTCATCCCTGCACACTTACTTTGGACTCACTGTCAACATTTATTATGGATTGGATCTGATCCTCTTTTCACTCTTCTTTTGTTTGATTGATTTGGATCAAAGGTCATCGAAGGTGCAGGTGCTATATTGAGCTGTGTTTGCAAGTCCTGCACGACAGCAGCCTTTAGAATCCGAGAACTTCTCAGATGAAATAAGTTGTCTTCTCCCCATCTGAGTGCAAGATCTATACTTCTCAGAGCAGAAACTCTCTCTGGCTGAGTTGACAAGAACCCGATACAAAGAATTAAGAACATCACCCTACAGGAAGGACACAACATTTTTCTGAACTTGGTTCCAACAGAAGGAACAAAAGTGTTTTCTTGGCCAAGACTATGATGAGAAAATGAGAGATTTGTCTGTGGCTATACTCTGCATATCCAACACCAAGTGCCTGTACATATAAACTTGTGTTTCATCTTTTATGGGATTTGCAAGAATAAAGTTAACAGTAAAGCAGGGGAGGGTCCCAAGACAAACCATCTATAGAAGTTTAAGATTCACTTCAATCATAAGCCTGCCAAATGCTGCAAGCAATATAAGGCTGTTGTACAAGACACTGACAGGTTTGAATAAAAGTGAAGTTGGAACACCATTCTTTGGGCCAAGAATCTATACATTTGTTCCCTACATCCCTTTCATTCTTTGCCCTTTTGGACCAAATAATGACCAGACCAGTGGTCTTTATTGAACTTTATTCCAACTCAGCTGCCAGGTCATCTAATTATAATCATCTATTCTTTAACCTCTAACCCTTTTAACATCAGATAATTGATATTAGCTTTGTTTTACAACAGTTTTTATCACATCTGTTACAAGAATAAATGACTAATTTCGTGTATGATCACTGAACTTTATTCACTTCAATACAACTTCCCTCATTCAGTTAGAAGTTAATTCAATGAGGAGGCCAAATCTGAGATTGCAAGAAAGCCAGATAAAGTAGAGAGTATTGGAGAATGTGAAGAATGGAAGCCTCTTGGAAAAAAGATATAAATCCAAGGAGTTGCTTTATGCCAAATTCTTCTTTAGATTCTACAATTCCAATCTAAAAAAACAAAAATGGCAGTCTTGGTTCCTTGTGCTTAATGAGTTTCCCTTTATGCTTTTCTTTGCTCTCATCTTTAATTTTAGATTTGTGCAAATTTCCCTCCATTCAAAATTCTTGGACCTTGTCAAGCATATTACTCTTTCCTTCTTTATTTTTCTTGCTTACCCATGTGGACCATCTTCTTCTTCTTCTTTTTTCACTTTTTCTTTTTCCTTTTTCTTATTCTCAGATTCAGAATTTGTTCCTCTTCATCTTGCCCGTTGGTATGTGTTGTCTCAATCCCATGAAAGAATTTGTTCCTCGCATATTAATAAGGGTCTCTCCAACTTCAGAAAACAGGAAAATTATTTCATAAGATAAATATGATCAAGGGAACAATCTTAAGCTGGTTCGATCAGCGTAGAAATAAGTAGCTGTAAGAACTGAGATATACAACAGAAAAATTAGTGTAATTCCACAATTGGGGACTGGAGAGGGTGGTGTATACAAAGCCTCACCCATGCCTTGCGAGGGTAGCTGAACGCTAAATTTATAAACATTAACCAGCAGGTATATAAACAAAAGAGATCCAGCTCAAATTAGAGATACCAGCAAAGTGCCCAAACATTACTTAATCATAGCAAGCAATGTAAATACTAAATGAAGTGGGATGGAGCAGTAAACCATATCGATAAGAATAAACAATGTACATGATGTGAAGATATGGTATCTTCAAATTCAAAGCAGATAAGTTAGCTGCTATGGTTTTTTTACATGTTCAAGCGTTAATGTAAATATTGAACAAAAGGGAACAATTTCAGCCTCTGCATCACTCCAGGGCTAAGATATACAACTAATACATCGAAAGGAAAAAAAGAACCTCTATTCTCTTAGCTTGTGCAACTTACAAAGTACAGTGCCATTATCAGCAACAACGTTTTAACATGCCAGCTGAGCAAAGCCATTTATACTAGCTCCGGAGGAGGAGCTGTGACCTGGCCAGTTGGTGTTGCAACATGGGTAGTTGGGTTTGCTGAAGGTTCTGCTGCCTGTGCAGGTCCTGGTGCTATTGTTACATGCAAGCCCCTATGTTGCCCTGCTTGCAGCATGAAAGCAACTTCTGCTGCCGCTAATGCTGCTGCCTCCTGTGTTGAAGAAAAGACAAAGAATAAACATCCAAAAAAATAGCAATCGGCATAAAATTATATATTAAAAAAAACGGATGAGGAAACTACATGATGTAGAATGAATTTATTTAGTCTGTTTTGATGGATGAAAAAAGCAACTTTCGGTGCATGCCAAACTGAATGATGGAGTTCAAAGTAGGAGGATCAAAGTATATAATTTTCGGTGTGGTTCAGACAAGTATTAATTTTTTTTACCATATACTTAGAGACTACAAAAAAAGTAATAGATCACAATTTTTTAAAGATGTTTGAAAAAACATAGTCAAAGAAATAGCTGCTTGATTTCCCAAATAGTCCGAATTTGGTATAAAATGGAAATAAAAAAGTTATAGTAGTTGTTTCTTTTTTTCTTTTTTCACTTGTTTATCAAAGTTAAATTTATTTGGGCAAGCAAAATTAGCACGGCATTAACTCCCACAGCTAGAGCAAGTAGAGATAATTTTAAGAGTTCAACGTGCCCTTAAATATCCTACTTGGTTCTCATGATAAAATCACATAAGTTCCAACATGTTACATAATTCAAATCTACTTAATGTGTGTACAACGTGCTGACATCTATCAGCAGAACGTAAAATTTTACAACTGGAAGTGACAGTGGTGGGCACTATCACACTGGACATATAAACCAATTATCTATTGCGACTTGCATCATAATCAACATGAAAGCAAAAGGTGGGATGCAAAGTATAGACCAGGAAAATAGAGATAAGACCATCAAATGAACTTGGAATTGTTTGGAAGTTGGGAAGTGTAACAGAGAACAAATTTATTGGAAAAAGCACAAATAGCAAATGAGGTATTTCATGATTTCATCCCTTACAAGAGGAATTCTTCAGTGACCAGATGTTTTAGCCAGGAGTCTTAAAACAAATATCCTTGCATGAGGTATTTCATTCATGCAGGGTGAACACGACATGACTTCTCCATGTTTAGCGAGAACACCCTGTATTGATGTATTAACTATGACTAGGATTGAAGGTCTTGAATGTTTTTGAAATAGAGTACACTGAGTTCCCATAAACTAGAGCAAAGATCTTATTCGCTCAATTTATTATATACATGTGCATTGATGCAGCATTAGTCAACCATTACGACTAAACAAAAAATTATCTGATCTGCACCACAAGGATTTTAATTTTTGCATTTTTGCAAAAGTGCAAAGTAATCATCAAATTAGCAAGTAAGAAGATTGACACGTTAATAGCAATTTACATATTATAAAAAACAATTGAAATCTATACATTGCTCTAACCTGTCTTTGCCTTCGACGCTGCATGATACTGATAGCCCAAGCCATGATGTAGCAAGGTAGAAGAAAACCAGCAGCACGGAGTAAGAAAAGCTGTGTCAAGGAATCAACCAGATCAGTGATCCCACACAATTTCATGTATCATAGCCTCATCATATCAAGCAACAATCGGAAAGATGATTTCACTGTACGATTCACTCACCGAGAAAAAGGCAGAAACATCATCATCATCCCCATCACCATTTCCGATGGTCACAGCATGCCTCAATAATAAAAGGGCCATTAACTGCAGGAACACAGTGCATTATTCTTTGTTTATCTAGAAACAGAGATAAGGTCAAAATATAACATAAATAGATTGCATGGGAAAAAAGAAAAGGTTAATATTGAAAGGAAAATTTCCCTCCAGTTTTTCTATTATTGCTACTGGGAAATATTTTAACAAATTTAGACAATAAAGTGAAGGTCATTTATGATCCATTCAACCAGCCGGAAAGGACAAAAAGGCAATACAAACAAGGAAGGGAATATAAGCAGATAAAAGGAGAATAAAAGCATGAACTGTAGCGTGAGACCCTACCTTCTCAAAAAAAAAAGCATGACCTTGAAAAGCCCTCTCTAGTACTAGTGACGCAGTTTCAAGAACTTGAAGGGAAAACTATTCTAGCATGAACATGAAAATATACATAATATAAGGTAGGATGAGTTTGTTTGTGTTGCTTTTTTTCCCAGTAATGGAATAGCGCAGTTGATATGATTTCCATTTTGAGCATTCCTAAAGTATGACTCCTAAGAAAGGAAAACTCTCATTTTAAAAGAAGGGAGTGCCACAAATCAAAGATAGTTGTGCCCAAAAAAATTGTATCACCACTTCTCTCAATGAAATATGAACTCTCAAGTTTCTTCTCAAGTCACTACTTAAAGATGAAAATTTATGTACCGTATGGTCAAGGCTAAACCCCGCCTTCACCCAAATAGAAAGAATGTTGAATCTGCTGGTGCATTATCTTCCATAAGAAAAATTTACTAATGCATACCTCACATTACCACTAGCCTGCATTTAGCAAAATGATTTTAGCAACATTAAGGAATAGCAGTTGCTTACAATTAAAGCAGCAGAACGGCAAAATGCAGCTCCACTAGCACTTGAATCAGCATATTCATCATAGTCAGCCTCCAAGAGATGGCGTTCTGCAGCTGCCATTGCAAGAAGCCGAGGATCATGTAAGTTGAGCTGAGTACCAGCTACTGTCCAGCCCCCACTGCAAGGCAATCCATGTGGACGAATCCATCAGTGACAGAGAAGAGAAGACAGAAAAGAAAATTTTCAAGATTAAGATTGTGAGATGACATGCTGATCATGTTGGATTGTTCTCAATAATAACAGCTAAGCTGGCACCAAAGAAAAGGTTATGTCAGATTATAAATCAAAATTTCGGCAGCAAGGGCCTCTATGTATATACTGTAAAAACTTAAAACTGAACTGCCTCATAATATAATAAGTTAAACATGTTTTAAGTACTTTCAAAAGAGGGAGGAAAGGTCTTTATGGCAGTTTAGTTTGTCATATACTGTTCTTGTTGGGCCAAGAAAAATAATTTCATGTCAATGATGCTGAAATTTCACTTCTTTTTTTTTTTTGAGATGGTGACATATTCCTGCGTATATATAGACATCAGCAAAAAAATGTACTGGTAACCAAAGTGGAGTGACTACATCAGATCACCAAAAAGAGAAGGGAAACAAAAACCTTGCTCATCTTACAAAGAGCCTAACACATCTATGATTGCCTCAGGATCATCTATATATTCAGATTTGCACCAAAACCTAAAATGATGAATACAATTTATCTTAATCTTCTATAAATGCTACTTGTATCACTTTAGCTACAAACATAGATAATCATATAAACACTTGATATCAAAGAAAAACAAACTGAACCGGGAATCGGAATCATCACTAGATATTGAACATATTGGTAATGCAGAGTTCATGGTCATAGACCACGGATAAGGATTTAACTCAGTTTTCAAGCATACAATTAAATTCCTTTTTTTTTGGCTGAAAGCATGAAGTATAGTTGAGCTTCTTAATGACTTCTTGAGTTGCACAGTACATTGACCTATTCTTGCGTTCATGAAGAAAACGCAAGTTCACTTGCTAATTAGTTCAGAAAGAAATAGACTATTTAGAGGCCTTATAAGCGGAGCAATTCATAAAGAAGATACACATAATCAAGTCAAAGAGAAAGGTGTG